AGGCCATGATTTGGATTGTGAAGGCCCACAAAAGTCAAGGATGGTAAATTGGTGGGCCGGCCTTAGATTTGGAGGGGTTAAGAGAATGTTACGAAGCAATTGACATTTCTGAACTACTACAATGTCAAGGTCACGACATTTCAAGATTCACCTAATGCGCAAACCAGTACTTAGTTTGGTGTGGAAGGGGTTTGTTTTCTTTTGTTATATCTGGATTCGAGTCTTGCTTGTCATCTCTGTAGTGTTTTATATGTTTATTGGATTTGCTGGCTCGGATATCCCATGTAAATTAAAAAAAAAAAATTCACCTAATACAATAGGTGTTTGATACAATGACTTCACATTTAATGAATTGTCATCATGTATCAAATAATAATAATAATAATAATAATAATAATAATAATAATAAAAAATAAATATATTATAAATTAAGAAAATTTAGTAATTAAACAGCTGTTAAAAATATGTTATTATTAAATAATAAAGAGTGGTTTTTTTTTCTTAATATTTGTTATTTACGCTCTATCATTTATTGTGGAGAACAAAATAACCTAGTTAATTATGTTTCTTCTATTTTATTGAATCTTAATTAAATAAATTTTATTTATATTCTTAAAAATAAATATACTAGAAAAATATAATTTTCCAAACATTCAAGTTATGTAATTTACTTTACAAACTTAATACTGAGTTTATAGAAATTGTAAATTTTATAAATAAGTCACTCAGTGAACCACCATTCTAAAATTTTCAATTACCAAATATAATATTATATATCATAAATCACTACTATATATATATATATATATATATATGAAATCTCTACTAAAAATATATATTATTTTTAAAATTTTCATCATAAGTGGGTGATTAAATTGGTAAAACAAAGGTATGCTTTCTATGCAGTCTCTCGTTCGAGTCCCTTTACATATTAATATTAAAGGTCATATACCGCAAGATGTAAGTTTTATTTTGCAAGTTTTATTTAGGGTGTATGGATTTAGTTCAGTGTGCCCAAACTAGCTTGAAATACCTTATATATATATAATTTTTTAAAAGCTTGAAATACCTTATATATATATAATTTGTTTTTTAAAAAAGATAGTCTTTTCATTAGTCCTTTTATTTTTTATTTTTATTATTTCTAAAGAAGATTAAAACGAATTTTAGATGTTAAAAATAAAAAAATATATTTAATAATTGATGGAGTGAGAATAACAAAATTGTAAAGTGAGAATAATGCCACCCACAATAAATAAGGAACTGTTCTTTCATATAACTTTTAATCCTCCGATATTAGACATTTAAAGTCGCAATTACAAATTTGATTTACATTAAATATTTTTACAAATGACTGTTTATATCTCAATAGATATTTGCAGTGTTTTATAAGTTTACTTAAAAATAAAAATATAAAATTTTGATGATTGTGTATTTATAAAATCAATGGATACTTACGAGATTTTTTTTTAACCAACAATTATATTATATAAAAAATAATAATCAATGGATATTTATAGTATCATTTTTCTATTTTGTTTTGGTTAAGAGATATTTATAGTATCATTTGACACTTATAATGTCTTTCAACATTCAATGATTAATAATTAATAATTAATCTATTATTTTTTCTTCTATTTTATCTACATATAATAATTTTAGAGAAATAATAGAATAAAATTAATGTAATTAAAGTAATGTATTTTTTATTCCTAGTGAAATTTATGCAATAGTTATAAGTATATACTCAATATTTGTATTTTGATCATTAAATGTACTACGCCATTGTTTGATTATATTTATGGAAATCTTCATATTATTTTTTTTTTGACATCACCTAGTAATATTATAGGACTAATTATATGACCAGTGTTTAGGACTAAAATTTATTTTTCTAATAAAAAAATAAAATATGTAAGCCTTCCAAACATGTTTTTGGATATAATTTTTTTTTTAATTATAAATCAAGAAAATGTTTAACCATATCGCTAAATATAACTTGATATCCAATAAAAAAAATATTTATACATAAATCTAATTAAATAACTTGATATCCGATCAAGAAATAACTAAGATTAAAATATATAATGTCTCAGCATAAATCATGTATTCAATTGTATTTTATAATTTTTTTAGGATAAATTTATTGTTTAATCAAATGATAATCCATACTGATAAATAATAAGGAAAAAAAATATTATTAATAAAAATAAATTAAATAAAACCATAAAACTCAGCTATCAAATAATTTATTATTGAATGATAAAACTAATTAAAAAATAAAAAAAATTTAGATCAACTTGGATTACTTTGCTAGCCTCACAATCATGATACAAGGTGAGGAAAGTAAAAAAAAAACACCAAGATGAGTCTCTAAAAAATTAAATATTAAAAAAAAAAATTAATTTTAAAAAAATCAAAATCAATCTATATTAATCTTTAAAATTTATAACTAAAAATTGTTAATTTCTCTTATTTGTTTTAAAATATGTCTATATCACCAAGATATTGTTATTTTATTAAAAAAATACAAATTGTTTGTATCATCTAAACATTATATATATATATATATATATATATATATATAGGAATGTGCAATGTAGCGTATTCCAAGCCTAGTTAAGAACATAAAGCTCAAAAGTAGATTTGGTTGTCCACCATTATAGTGGATATTCATGTGGTTTTGATTTCATCGTACCTGGCATTTTGAATTCAGGACACAGTTAATCCCTAAAAAATTAATTTTAAAAAAATCAAAATCAATATGTATAAAGCTATTCCATTAGAACTTGTTCTTCGTGTCAAAATTAGAGCTTAAGAAGGACGAAATACACATTACGACTGGAGGAAGTTTTGGCTTAAAGATTATTCATTGATTAACTATTTAACTATAAAAAATCAATGTGAATAAAAATTTGTACTTTCTCTATTTTTTAAAAGAGGGAGCACTGTCTTTTTAAATCTTTAAATTACTGTATCACACTTAAAATTTTAAAAAATGACCTTGGATCTCTTGTCCTTATAGAAATTTTATTTTACTATAGATGGTGTTATGACTTTGTAATAATTCCATTGTTGTTATCATAAAAAAAAATTAACCTTAATTATGGGGCTTAATAATAATTTCATATTAGTTTTTTTTGTTATTATCATATAGTCCTAGAATAAGTTTTATTTTTGTCAAAATATAATAATAAAAAAAAAATATTAATACATACATTCCACATGTGAAAAGTTTAAAATTTTAAAAAATGACCTTGGATCTCTTGTCCTTATAGAAATTTTATTTTACTATAGATGGTGTTATGACTTTGTAATAATTCCATTGTTGTTATCATAAAAAAAAAAATTAACCTTAATTATGGGGCTTAATAATAATTTCATATGAGCAACTAAGGACTCGAACCTGAGACCACAGAAGGAGCAAACCCCTTAATCCCAAGTTTTTACCATTTGACCACCACCTAAATGGTTAATTTTATTCTTTTTTTTTAGTTTTATCCTTTTTTGATTGCACATGTAGTTGACTACAATAGTCATAGGCATGTTTTTACTATATCATTTGATTTGTTTTAACATCTTTTTTATTTTATATATATAAAATAGTTTGGTCTAATTTAATATTGATTTACTTTTCTTTCTTTTCTCACTCGTACCTCAATTTGTGTGCTATTCCTTTAAAAAATCACATAAACCCTTCAATTTCTTTCCCCTTCATATTTAGTTTTTTTCTTTTATTTGTAATTTTTTTATTTCAAAAAATTATTTCACATTAAAAATTATTTTCAATTTCATCTTTTTTTTTAATTTTTTTATCTTTTATATTTGGTTCTCATCCTTTAATTGCTATTTTTATAATACAAGCAATTTATAAAATTGATTTTTTTTACACTTTTATTTTCCTTTGGTTTTTTTATTAGTTTGATCTTTATTTTTTTTATTTTTTTTTGTTATAACACGGATTTTATGGTTGAAAATTAGATTTTTTAATTAAGTCTGCATTTAAGATTTTATTTTTTATGATTTGAAAATATTAACTCAAGTTTATAAAATTTTTTCAAATTTATTTTAATTTTTATGTTATTAAATTATTATTAAATTATCCAGTCAAATCTTCTACTTCTTTAAAAATAATAGCATTATCTTAACATTTTTCTTTTTATGTCCACAAAAATTTTCCGCTGCCGGTGTTATTGTGTCCTTCAATTATATAAGTTTATTAGAATTATTTTTTTTATTTTTTTTCAGCCTTCAATAATTAATTTATCATCTTTAATTCAAATATGCTGACCTTCCCATCAAGAGGTTTAATTTTCTTTTTTAAAGAAAAAATAAAAAAAAGAAAGACAGAAACCGTCTCAAGAGAAATGCGTTTGGAAGAAAAATGAAAATTACAACTTTCTAAGAAACGCGCTTCCGGAAGCAGTCATAAATCAAATCCGTTCAAAGTAAAAGAAGCGTGGAGGACACGGCGTCTCTGGTAGTTTACTTGTGAAGCTTCTGCCTTCAGTTTACTGCTAAGAATTCGAAATTGATAATTCCCGTTCTGCCATGGTCACGGAAATTTGGGGACAATATATATAATAATATTTATTTATTTATATGATGAGCATATATACTTGTCAGCTCACCATGCCTATAACCTAATACTTTAGAATAACTGAATATGCTCCAGCTAAGTGGTCCCCACAAGCCCTTCAAAGTTCAAAGAAGAGCAGCCAGCCATAGCGGAGTAGATCCTTCATCAATCATCTCCTCCCGACAAGCCCCTGCTTCCTTCTCAAACATTGACTTCTTCTGCATCTTCGTTTTTTAAAAATATTCGATTTTTTTTATATTTTTTTACTTAAAATTATATTTTAATGTTTTTAAATTATTTTAATATATTAATTCTAAAAAATATTACAATTTAAGAAAAAAACAGTTGTCACGATACTAAATAAATGGTCATCCATTTCGCTCTCACAAACTTTAACTCGACAACCAAGTAATAAATTAGTCTTATGACGAATCAATCAACCATGAAAATATCAAGTCTTGAATGAAAACCACTTGTAGAAAAGTTAAAAGGCAGATAAGAGAATCTCTCCTGAAAATCTTCGTCTTCTTCCTTTCCTCTCCACCAAAACAAACCCCAATTTCAATTTCCTGAAAAAAAGAAGAAAAGGGAATAAAAGAGGGAAGTGAAGTTCAAGTCTCCATGGACAGACTGGTAAAGGCAGACGTGAAGGAAGTGGAGATAGCATATAAGGGAAGTCAAAACTGCAGCACAACTTTCAGATTAACCAACCTTATGCACACCATGTCTGTGGCAATCTCTTTGTCCACGACAAACCCCTCTGCTTTCTCTTTCGCACAGCCTTTCTCTATATTACCACCTTTGTCTTCCTCATCTTACACAATTGTCCTCTCTCGGTCATCCGAACAGCCTCCTCTGTCTTCTCCTCCTGATGCCATCTCTGTTAAATCATCCATGCTACCTACAGGCAAGGCTCATCAGGATGAACTCCGCCGACTGTTTTCAAAACCTGGACCCCATATTTTTAGAGACGCCACCATCCCTGTCTACCTCGTGGGTCCCCAAGTTGCTGAATATATCATCTCCAATCACACCCAAATTACTGATGTCTCCGGTTACTTCAACAGGGCTATTTGTAGATGTACCGGCTCCCAGATCACAGGACTGCTCGAATCTGCTGTGCCATCTGGTAATCTAAATTTGGTCACTAGCTTGATTGATCACGGTGGTAATGTAAATTGCAAGGATTCAGAGGGACGGTCCTTGATCTCTCTAGCTGTTCAGGCTGGGCAGATTGATGTAGTTAAGGTTTTGATTGCTTCTGGATGTGTAATTGATGGCTCCATTGATAAAGTATTGCACTATGCAGCGGCTATAAATAGAGTGGATTTGATGGTTGTTCTGTGTGATAGTTTCGAAAACATTGAAGTAAATTCAGCTGATTTACGCGGTAGAACTCCAATTCATGTCGCTGCAAGCAGGGGCCATGTTGAAGTGATTAGGTTTTGTGTGAGTGCTGGAGGGAAAACTGGGGTTTTGGATCATGACGCGTCGAGCCCGCTTCATTTGGCAGCACAAAAAGGGCACTTAGAGACTACGGAGTATTTATTGGATTGTTCAGATTATTCTGTCAAGCATTTAGTGAACAAAGAAGGAAAAACTGCTTTCTCTATCGCAGTTGATAATGGACATTCGCATTTGTATGATTTGTTGCATATGGGAGATGTTTTGCAAAGAGCAGCTAGAGTAGATGATGTGAATGGTATCAAGAGTTGCCTTGCAGAAGGGGCAGAGGTTAATAGAAGTGACCAGAATGGATGGACACCTTTGCATAGAGCTGCCTTTAAGGGAAGAATTGAGAGCGTTAAAGTGTTGCTTAATCACGGAGCTCAAGTTAATGCTGTTGACAATGCTGGGCACACACCACTTCATTGTGCAGTTGAAGCAGGGCATATGCAGGTTGCTCTGTTGTTAATTGCTCACGGAGCTAGTGCAAAAGTGAAAAGTCTCAAGGGGATTGTGCCTTTGAATATGGATTGCTTTAAGAATCACCCTTCTCTAGTCAAGCCCTTGTGTCAAGAAAAAAAGAAAAGTGAAACTGAGGTATCTGTTTGCTGATTTTCTCTTGCATTTTTGTAATATGTACATACTCTTACCGAGTTTTGGCTGGGTATTGTGAGAGATAAGCCATGGTTGGAAAGGGAGGGAGTGCTCTGCTCCACTCCTGTCCAAGTCATTCTCTCGATTATGTGGAAAGTATGTGGCCCTCAGGCCTCAATTCTCTAATTACAAATTTATCAGCAATCATGAAAACGAATTGAGCTTTAGCTTTCATAGTAATGTTTCCTTTACTTTTGCCATGGATTGATGCGGCCTCCGTGAAGAGTGTTCCCGTTTTTTTGTGTTTGTCGATCTGCCTCAAAACTCAAAAGTTCCTAGGTAATTTCAGTCAATTGCGGGCATAGAAAAACTTGACTAGGGCAGATGTATTTGTTTGGTCGAATCTCGGTTCGCTGGGAGTAACTCCCGGCTTTCCGACCGATTTGAAGATATATAGGTATGTGTTTTGCTATGGTTTCTAAATAAAATTGAAGTGGGTATGTATCATTTGGATGATATCTTTCTGCATAAACTTTTTGTAGGAGTTAAGGATGGAATGACATTTGTTTATGATCGTTAAAACATGCTATTAATACAATTAAGGGCGCACGTAGATGCAACTCAATAGAGAATTTTCAAATTAATAGATTAATTATGTGTTAAAAGTTTATTGAAATAAGTAAGGTTTACGGACAAAAGCGGAGCCTTGCGTTGGGCTGCAGCCCAGGCAGGGTAATAATTATATATATAAAAAAAACCTTCTCCTTCCACTAGGCCAGTGTCAACCACATCCTCATCGTCAAGCTCTCCTAGCCCAAAGCCAGTGACAATCACATCCTCGGTGCCAAATTCTCCAGCCACTAAAGTTGTAACCACCAGTGCAGCTCCTGTGCCAAGCCCTACACCACCTCCAAGAATCGTCAAGCCTACAGCTCTAACCCCACCCCAATCACCTAAGCCTAAGCCTACTGCGCACTCCACCACCTTCTTCTCTAACACTTCCACCTTCCCGAGTAAAATCTGACGCAGATCTCGAACCCAAGATTCCATTAGTAGCAGAGCAAAAAACTGTGTTGGTTCATGAGATTATTGACAAGCCTAAAGAGGCAAGTGATTCGCTGAGAGCCTTTGCAGATAGTCTCAGCTCTAGCATTGCTCATCTTGCAAAGCACGAAACTGCCAAAGATCAAACAAAGGAGAAAGGTAGCGGCAAGAAGATTTCTTCAGATTATGAGGATGTTGGCACGAGGGTAATTAAAATTGCAGTATACTGTATCCTGAAAATTTAATAGTTTTAATATATTTAATTTTTTTAATACTTAAAAATTTTAATTTAATTTTTCCATAGCTGTTCCTATTAAAAAAAACCCTTGGTTTGGTTAGTAATATAACACATATTAAAGTCAATAGCTTTGTGAGAAATTATTATGCTTAAAAGAATTATAAAAAAATTAGTGGTTATTTAATTGTAATGAAATTTTTGAATTTATATTTATTTTATATCTGATGCATAAAATAATAGAAATTACTAATTTACTTTATCGAGTTTTGTTGGATAAATTTCTTGACATCTTAAATGCAATGGATTTTATATTAACTACTAAAGTATTGCTTTGAACTTTGAGAAATGCCGAATTTGATCTTTTCCTTGTAAATACGCAATCTGTTTACACAAAATATGAGATTGATATACCACGTATGAATATTTTGTATAAAAAAAGTTATAGGTCGTTTATATCAACAACAAGGTTCACTGACAGTTTACCATCATTATCATTATGATATATTTAACCTAACAATAAATTTTCAGTTGAAAAATTAAATTCTAAATTCAGTAATGGAACAATGAAACTTCTCGTACTTAGCTCTGCTTTAAAATCTACAGACAAATTTAAATTATTTAAGGCTGATGCTATTTACGATCTTGCTAAGAAATTTTATCTTAAAGATTTCAATGAATAAAAGATGTATTATTTGAAATATCAGCTAGAGTATTATCAGATTGATATGATTCATCATGAGAGCTTTTAGAATATATCTACCATTTCTAAATTATATCAAGAATTAACTGAAATAAATAAGTCGCAACACTATCATTTGATTGACAAGTTGATTCGTCTTGTTTTGACTTTGCATGTTTCCACTGTCACTACAAAGTGAGCATTTTCGATTGTCACTACAAAGTGAGCATTTTCGACTATAAAACATGTTAAAACCATGCTTTGTAATAAAATAAAAAAGAAGTTTTTAGCAGATTTTATAATGATTTACATTGAACGAGAGCTTGTTGTAGATATTGATTCAAATTTGATCATATATGAATTATATTCTACAAAACATTAAATGGTACAACTTTGATAGTATAATTTATTTTTATTTTTATTTTGAATTTTATGTGCTTTAATTTACACACACACACACACACATACACACTGTGTTATGTATTTGAATTGAAACTTTATTGTTAATTTGATAAATTTATATATCGAAATTAATAATTAATATTAAAAAATAATTTATATACATTTATATCATAGCCTATGACAAAAAAAATTCCTAGCTTCGTCCCTTATTTATATCATAGCCTATGACAAAAAAAATTCTCGTCCCCAATTACGGGGATTGTAAGTTTGATTTTCAAGGGCGGAAAAATAGATTAATATTGGGATGTTAATTATATAGTTAAATGAGTGAATTGTTGAGGGTTTTGAAATTGTTTTTAAAATTGCAATAAATGAGAAAAGCTTAAAGAGTATTAATCAATATAACCATTTTCAATAGTATAAAATTGAAATTGGTGAGAAAAGTTTATTAATTTTAGAATAGCAATAAATTGAAGTTTACTAGTTGATAATTAAACTGGTGTGTCAATGACACAAACAAACATGATTGCAAGAAAAATATATATGTAAATGCATATCTACTTCCATTATTTTTCGACATAGTTGTATCTTTATTGACGCAGATGAAAGTGACATAAAAAAATAACAAGTATAAAAATACAAGATTATACTAAAAAAAATGATATAAAAATTTTAATTCAAAATTTTATTACTTGGTATTTTCTCTTCAAGTAATCTATCTCTTTAAAACATTCACCACTTCTTAAATAAATCTAATAACTTAATTAACCAACAACGAAACTCGAAAATAAAGTAGAAATAATAAAAATCATAAACAAATTAGGAAAAAAAATTCTAAATAGAATTGAAAAAATAATATATGAGTTTTAATCCAAATAAAAAAAAACCATAAACCAAATAGGAAAATATAACAAATTTCAAACAATAACTTATAAGCATTATTGAAAAATCTTTCCAATCTTCAATTGTTGTGAAATTTTACCCATTAAAAACAGGATCCTAAAATGTCTTAGTAAACTTTGAACTTGATCCAACAATAAAGTAAAAAATTATGTTTAATAACATAAAGTTGCATAGTAGGGAAAAAAAACTTGTTGCATTAGTTTATCCAGGTTAAAAAGAAATTGCCCTTATATTTAAACTATTCTTGCCCCTTATGGATATCCAATCAAGACTCTTCACTTTAATTTTTTCTTCTCTCCAAATATATATCAATTTTACACATCCACCTTAGTTCTTTCATCTTCAAATTTGATTAAGAAACAACAATTGACAAAATATTTTTCTTCCATTAGCTTTTATAGTAATAAATTGCAAATCTCAAACTCATTTGATACACTTATATTGTTCTATATTTTTAGAACCTTATTTGTTGTTTTTTATACATATTTTATGTTTTACGATAATTTATTAATTTATTTTATGCTTAACAATGTTACGCACCAAAGTGTAAAAAGAAATCAATTAAAGCATTTTTAGCACAATTTCAAGTAATGAGCTAGAAATAACACATTAAGACAAGTCATTAAAGGTAATAAGTGCAAATCCTAATTGCATTAGGAATCGAACTTGAAAAAGGAATTCTAGAAGGATTAAGATTGGTCAAAGCAAATATTCTAAATTGGACCTTCGTGTACTCTTTAGATCATATCTGAAGCTAAAAATGGAATTTTGATGTTATTCAAGTTGGAATGAAAATTAGACGCCTCAAGTTTTTCGTGTATATATAGGCCTAATAAATCATCTAGACAAGAAACAACAACATGTTTGAAATCAAATATGAAATCTGTGAGCAAACTAGCACAAGTCTAGCTCATCTTTCCATATTGAGATGATGACATGGCATCTCATCAATGATTGAGAAATCTCTCTAAAAGATGGAAGTCTATGCATAAGTCATTAGAGTCAAATTAATGTAAAGAAAACTTAAAGTAATTTGATTAGGAATTAGTTATTAACTATGAAATTTCTTTATCTTCTCAATTCCATAAATAACAAATCCTAACCTCTAAAAAAAAAGGGATCACTTTTAGAATATAGGAGAAAGGAAGTTCTATTATTCTTTTATGAATTTGCGAGAAGCATAGTTTTTAATTTTAAGATGTTAGTACTCTTAGATTTTAAATCATTATAGGGATTTATGCTTAAAATTTTTCTATATCTGATTGTGCTATATAAATATTTTATGTAATAATTTTATTTGAGCAAATAAGTGCAAATATATGATCACTCTTCTCAAGATCTTGTAATATTTTTTTTTCATATTTGCTAATCGACGAGATAACTTTTCAACTTGATTTTGTATGTTTATTATATCCAATTAATGGGTTAGTTTTATGATTTTTATTTACATGTCTTCCATCACCAACTCCTAAACATTTTTCTCCCGATTAGAAATCTCCTCAACTTTTCTTACATGAACACATCTACTCTACAACCTTTTTTATCCATGATTATTTAGCAGCATACAACAAATAAAATACTTGAAATTATAACACATATCAAGCAATAACCTGGGATTGCTAGGCTCTGATACCAATTGATGTAGATAGAATCAACACAAGAAAGATAGTAAGTATAAGAACATAAAGTGACATGACCAAAAAATTGATATCTTCTCCCAAGTGCAAGAGTGTCAAAGTAATAAATAACCTGGCAAGACCGGGGTCGAACCATAGGGAAGTTAATTGTATAAATTATAGATAACAATAACACAACAACAACAATAATAATAGTAATAATACTACTAATAATAGTAATAGTAATAATACTAGTAATAATAGTAATAGTAATAATAATACTAATAATAGTAGTAGTAGTAGTAGTAATAAAGAAGTTGATGAGAACTTCGAGATGAAATATCAATGTAAGATATTAGTATCAAACATTAAAGTCTATATTGAGTTTATACTATACATATTCTTACACCATTACTGTAACTTTTTTTCACTTTGAAATAATAAACTTAACTAAATATAATGAAAGAGAGAAACATAAATAAACAAGATATGAACATTAATAAGATAAAAGTTAAACCACTTGAAAACATAAAAGTTGTAGGAAATTATCTCAGCTTTTTAGGAAAAAAAAATAGAGGTCATTTGGACTTCTAGAACTCCAGATATGGGCCAGCAATATTTGAGCTATAGGATAGATTTAGATTTCTTCA